TTTATGAAATTACTATTTTCACTCTTCTTTTATACCGAGCCTCTATTGAGAATGTTGAACAAATGTTTTAAACAACTTTCATTGAAACTGGAGTTTTTACGAGATGTTCGGAATTTAATTACTGATTTTATCTTGTTATTCCCACTGAGGTTTTTATGTTATGAGATGTATATGATTTTAAATGCTCATCACTGCACTCAGCCTTTATTTATAATTGTTACTTACTGAGTTGGCGTACTCACGTTACTCCCTGCACCTTGTGTGCAGATCCAGGTGTCAGGGCATCTGAATGAGAGCTGATCCTTCCTTCAGAGCATTTCCAGAGTTAGCAAGGTAGCTGCACGGCGTCCGCATCCCTGCCTTTCTCCTTCCTATCTTTTAGTATTTGTTTTTATCAGACTCATCTTGTATTGAGTAGACAGTATCATATTGTATTTTAGTGGCTCATGACTAGTGACTCCGGGATCGGGCAGTGTTTGATGTTTTGCATATTTTTCCGCTTGTTTTGAAATGTTTAAATGGAAGATTTGTGATAATATCTGATTAGTAAATTAATTAAGAAAAAGACCTTTTATGTTATAAATGTCGAATTGGCTAGCCTAGTACTGCGATAGGCGCCATCACGGCCGGGGTGGTTTGGGGTCGTGACACCTGGTCGAGCAAGCCTGCACAATGTCGTCTACCCAATTCACCCATAAATAAAAGGAAGATACATTTCATTAATTAGACAGTGAGAAGTCATATGAATAACACCAGTTCAATTCTGTTAGTTACGTCATTAACAAGCCTCCAAGATAATACACTATGCATTTGTAGTTGAAGTGGTACAATGATACAATTACAACACTTTTAGTTTAACTTTCCCAAAACTAAATACAACCCACACTATGTCTACGAAGCCTCTAACAGAAACAAAAGAGTGCTACTACAGTGCCGGCAACAAGGCCCCAGTTATACCTTAAAATACTATGTATAAAGGACAAGAGATACAGGACCCCAAATGAAGTGGGGCTCACCAAGTCAGTTGAGGAGAGGGTGTACTGCTATCACGGATCAACACCACCTGCTATGGAACAACCTGCATCCATTAAAGATGCAGCACCCCCGGAAAAGTGACATTCGTACATATGGAATAGTACTAGTATGTAAAACTAAACACCCTCTCAATAGAACGAGTAACAGTAAACGGAGAAGGAAACATGAAATCAATAAGAGACTCATATAATACCAAGGCGTCAAGTTAGGGGAAAAGTAAATTTCAAGTAAGTTTCAATATTTTTAAGTTGGGAGATCTTTCGCACCGACACACCACCGTGTTTTTAGCATGGAGTCCGACCTCAGCCCGACCGGCTAAGTCATCTCATCCCGAGACATCCACTCATAATACCACCATGTGCGCGGCATGGAGTCTGATCTCAGCCCGATCGGCTAAGCCGTCTCACCACAATGCTGTGTGGGTCGACATCACATCACATCACATCTCGCTAGCAATAATCTCATCCCATTTAAGGGGAAACATCTCAGCACATCAATCTCATCCCATATAAGGGGAAACAACCTCACCGCATTAACACGGGGGTTTACCCCTCAATCACTCCTACACTGGTACGTGTAGTTTCGGGGTTAGGTTATTTAGACCTACCCTTCCTCGGTGACTAAATGATTCTCTCAAAACAGTTATTATTTAGAGGGATTTACCACTCATTTCATCATCCTTTACACGCCTCTTTGTTCCATTGGCACTAATGGCCCTAAATTGTAGTATCATTCTTAGCACGTTGGCCGTATTTCATATTTCATGCTTCAGTTTCACTTTCAACATCATCAGGATCGTCAACAATAAACATTACTATTCAAGGTTAAGTGCACATTTGAGCAACGAAGGGTCTTAGGCACATGTGATTTTTTACACAATTCGACATGATAGCTTTCATGAGAATCACGTTTTAAGTCATAACATATTAACACACAGCCCATACTTAAATCACATTCTCAAATCGTAACACAACATAACAAGAATATTTGGAATAAATATTGAAGACATATATGTTTTGACACAACTCACAAGGCTTATTCGGAAGAATCAATTTATAATAAGCACATGGGACTTACAAGGACATTGCGGGGTTCAATTCCAAAAGAGGAGTTTAGCCAAAATACCTCGCTTTGAGCTTCCTTAAATTACTACAATGTTCAGAAATCTTAGCCACTTCGATCTATTTAGAGATATAACAAAATTGAACACAAATTAGACTCACAAGGCTTATTCGGAAGAATTAGTTTATAATGAGCACATGGGACTTAAAAGGACATTGCAGGGTTCAATTCTAAAAGAGGAGTTTAGCCAACATACCTCGCTTTGAGCTTCCTTAAATTTACTACAATGTTCAGAAATCTTAGCCACTTCGATCTATTGAGAGATATAACAAAATTGAACACAAATTAGGAAGGAGTTCATGGTTCCAGCTCATTTGAGCATTTTATCAAATACTATGTGCGCATTATGTTTTCTAGCTTCTCCTATGGTGGATTTCCCTCACCTCACAACCCAAGGTCTACCCATTTGGGCTCAACTACCTTCCCACACTCATGATTGTACATGCATGCATAGATACACTCTCATACCCAAGAATTGCTTGCCTTTTTACCTATTTTCAGTTAAATCTCAAAATTGAGGGTTATGGTGTAGAATCTTACCTCTAGGATGAAGACCTTGTGACTCTTTCTATGAATTCTTCAAGACTTGAGCCAAAATTGGTAAACCATTAGTTTAGGCACCATGAAATCCCGGGTTTTAGGTGAAATTTTACGGGGCCTTACAAGCCCGATCCACAATAATGAATAAGCCAATAAGGCCTGCTCCAGCGCACAACCCGATCCACAATAACACTCACAATCCGGATCTCAGGCCCAACTCAATCATCAATCCCTCCAGTCTCACGGCTCACAAGTCTCATACTACCCAGCCCAAACAATGATAACATGATACATCAGTAAATGATAACAGAGACTGAGATATGATATGCATATGAATAAACATGACTGGGTACATAATTGCAGTTTAGGCAAATAACTCATCATTAGAAATGATCTAAGTGGGTCCAAACAGAATAAGCACATAGCCTGAACATGATTTCTAACATGAATTACAGCTCAATTAATTTAATACGTAGGGATTACACGGATAAAATAAGACTAGATAACTACACAGTACCACAGAATCAACCGAGTCATAATTTCCACGGTGCAGGCCCAGACGCCGGTCACCTAGCATGTGCGTCAGCTCAACACCAACCATATAACACGCATTTCAGAGATTCATATCCTCAATATACCAAGTTTAGAAGTGTTACTTATCTCAAAGTGCTCAACTCAATGCTCCAACAAAAACTGAGCACTATTTAGGCTAAATAACCAAAATACCTTAGCAAGTAAAAGAAGCTAAGTAGACCAAAATTATAAGACTAGTCTAAATAACTAAATTGCTAAAATAGCCTTCTTGGTCTTGACTCCTCTAAAGCACTCCAATGCTATAATGTTGACTTGGAAATCATCCTCGTTAGGCATGCTCAACTCGCGTATATCACAAGACTTCCTATTATGGAACTAATCTCTAATTTTTAAAATTAATATTCACCACAATAAATTACGAATTGTTCCACTAAAAATTCATAATTCCTTATTCAATTCCAAAGTTCACCCATTAAATCTTATTTAATTCCCCATGTTAAGCTTCAGATACTAATCAATTAAATCAAATTAGTGACAGTTTAATTTATTGATTATTTTCTTTAGATTTTTGCTTAACTTATTTCATGTGTTGGATACAAAATTCACCGGCTGGGTTTACACATAAAACTTATAAGCTTTCACAAAGGTGTATCATCAATCTCTAAATCGAGTCATGGATTCCATCAACTAACTATTACTTCGTCAATGTACATTATTATTATCCAATTTACCAGGCATATTATCCCATGAAAGAACTCGCCTTTTAATAAATAATAATAATAATAATATACACACATTTAATGTATAGATTATTTATTTTATTAAGTCAATATAAAATAATTATCTTTACTTGGTCCATTCAATACGTACAAAATGTACTAGCACAAGAAGTTGGAATTAAACCATTCTCATAATCAAGATATATTTAATCTTGTTGTACAATCATTCCTGATGGTTTGTCCTATTCTATCATTAGATTGTGAACTCAAACTTTATACTTATAAGAATCGATAACTTAATCTTCCGTTTATAAACTAAACTCTATGCACTAAATCATCTACTATATAAGCAAAGGACACAAACTAATATATGATTTATTTAAAACTCTATTAAAATTGAATAAATAATTTTTTCATAATAAATACTATATCCAAACCAAACCAATAGTTAATAGTATACACCCCAACATCGAGAACTATCAGCTCATTTTGATAGTCGATTCAAGAAGAAGTGAGATTGCTGTCACACTAAAACAATGGAGAAGGTACTCTATCCGTTTCAATTTATGTGGCGCAGCTTGACTTTGGACGTAATTGAAAAAGAAAAAAAATGATTTTTAAAATTTGTGATTTCAGAGATGCCATAACATTTGCATAGGTACAGAATTTTTAAAACTTGGGATCTTAAATATGTCATAATATTTTTGTTACTGTAAAAACTTTTATTTAAAGGATAAAATGAGAAGTTTAGATTAAATTACTTTAAATATAAAAAATTATATCATTCTTTTAAAAAAAGATAATAACAAGAAAGTATTACATATAAATGAAATGGATGGAGTATTGTTTGTAAACCCAAAGGCTAAGTGAAATCTATTCTTCTCAAGTATTAAACTGTCAAGAAAGCAGAAAGAAACCAAAAGAAAAAGAATAAAAAACAAAAGAGATTGATCAGCACGTAGCATCAAACAGAGGGGACAATCCTTTTGACATGTCGCGAGTTGATTGGCCCCAACCATGTCAATTTCCTTGTACTCTTTCCCCTAGTTTTGGTTCCACCGCAGCTCTTCCCTTTCTTAGATCTACATATTCATATTATACTTATAAAAGGTTGAGTTGAAGAAGAGTCCCAATCACTTTCACATTCTACAAACAAAAATTCCTTAGTCAACTAATTGTATTATATTATCGGTATATAAAATTAGTGTTCAAGATCTCGTCTGCTTGTTTGCTTCTTGATGAGGAGATGGGGAAAGGTTCAGTGATAATCTACATCACAATTGCTGTGCTCCTCCTACTCCTCATCTCTCAATCTCCTTCCAACAAAGCTGGTAAACGACATGGGCATCGCCGCCTCAAGCTTCGCTCCAACTTCACTTTTGACCAACATATTCACCATGAACATGAACGCATTCCTTTTGACCCTTTAGTGGCTAAAATAGAGCGACATCGTGAGGATAAGGAATGGGAGAAGCAGTACATTGACACCCACCATCCAGAATTACATCATGAACATGCTCCTGGTGAAGAATCGCAGCCTGAATGGGAAGACTTTATGGATGCTGAAGACTATCTTAATGATGAAGACAAGTTCAATGTCACCGATAGGCTTGTGTTGTTGTTCCCAAAGATTGATGTTGACCCATCTGATGGCTTCGTGAGTGAGCATGAGTTGACCGAGTGGAATCTTGAGCAGAGTAGGAAGGAGGTGTTGCATCGGACTGAGAGGGAGATGGAGGTTCATGACAAGAATCATGATGGTTTTGTCTCTTTTTCTGAGTATGAGCCGCCCAGTTGGGTTCGCAATTCAGGTCACTTTCTTTTTGCTTCTGTTTTGTTCTCTTCTTTTTAATATCCTGCATTGCTTCTTATCAGTTTATTTTGCTGCTGTGTCATGTTACTGTTTGTTTAACTATAAAGTCCTTGCTTCGTATTTTGTCAAATCTTTACCTGTTTTTACAATAGGAAGGAACTCTAGTCTACTATTACAATAGGAAGGATCTCTAGTCTACTATCTTAGGAGGTTGTTAAAATTTGTATCAGTAACGGTCTCTCAATTGACTGTTTCCATCGTTGCTTATCTTAGACCTGGTGAAGCTGTTTCATAGGATATCAAAGTTAGATGTAAGGTCAGTGATGGGTGTGGCGTGGTCGCATGGGGGGTGGGAGGCATTGGTCAAACGGTTTGAATAAAGGGCTCCGTGGATGCTAAGTATTTCACCTTCTTCAATTGATTTATGGCCTATATTTAAGGTCACAAGCACGTTATAGGTCAACTGCCTCGAAGCAGCTACCCCTACACCTGATGTGATCCATTAAATTTGTAGTAACAGCTTGCTGAATATGATAAATTGTACCATTCATGTTCCCCAAGTACTACTGCAGTTTACATTGATTGAAGAAACTTTCTAGAAATTGTTTTAGGCTTTTGCTTGGATCTCTCGATATGGTGAATACTTGAATGCTTACCTTTTCATGTAGAGCAATTGGTATGTCATTCTCTGGGCATCGTCTGAAACTTTCTAGAAACTTTGTACTTTTTGACACAAATCCTTGTTTGTTCAATCTTCATTTAACAAAGAATATATTCCGCTCCTTTTACTTTATTTCCTTTGAGAAAGGCTTGAAAACACTAGTTTAAAAATAAGATTCTTATGTTGAATTGCAGAGGTTGTAGATTTTCGTTTTAATAAGCTTGATATTTCTTAACCCTTTCTTTGTTTTCTTCTTTGTGGCTGAATTAGATTCGCCTCACATTTTCTCAACTATATTCTTTCTTTAGGACTCCCTTCTCAGCAAAGTCCTATATTTGCTTTAGGAAAAGGGTAGCCCGGTGCACAAAGCATCCCGTGTTCACGCAGGTTCTGGGGAATGACAACCTAAAGTCCTATATTTGCTTTATATCTCAGAAAGACAGAAAAGAGAATTCTTCATTAGCTAGTGGAAAAAGAGAAAGATGAGGATACTCATTGCGTGATTTGTTCGTTTTCTACACAGATTCAGTGTCCTTTCAGTGGTTTCTGAATGACTCCTGAATATGTTATATGCTTGACTACTGTGGGCATGCTGTTCACTTTCTTCTTTTTTGTTTTGGGTGCATTTAACATCAAGAGCACAAACAAGTTGCTTCTTATTTTGCTTTCCAAGTCTTTCTACTTAAACTTGAATCATTTAAGTCCATTCATGGGTTCCATTGTTTCGTGCTGTCTACGGCTAATAGGGTTTCATTACTTATAGAGAAGCCATTTTTTGGCCCATTGATTTAGTAATTCACCGCAATCACAGTGTTTGAAGTGCATATCTGTTCCCTTTCTAGATATATTTCATGCTCTCCCTTACTCTTTGACAAATTTTGATGTGGTTATGCTGCAACAGATAACAGTTCTTTTGGATATGATATGGGCTGGTGGAAAGAAGATCATTTTAATGCATCAGATGTAGATGGAGATGGACTTCTGAACATTACTGAATTCAATGAGTAAGTTTCTACTAGGCCTGGAAAATCTTTTACTAACCTAAGCTCCTTTTCTTAGTAGTTCTCTGAACTTCATTTGATGATTTCATCTCATCCAATAACTTTTTGCTTTCTTGTGATCTCTTAGCTTTCTACATCCCGCCGACACCAGAAACCCCAAATTACTCAACTGGCTATGCAAGGAGGAAATAAGGTTCAGCAAATTTGCTGCTTTAACATTTTTCTTAAATAAGAGCTTCAATCATTTTGCTGCTTTTTTTTCTCGTGTATGATGGTCTATTTTACCTGTTGTTAATGTGCCAATGCTATGTGTTGTACCTGCCATCAGTTGTTCTTTTCATTCGCTCTTTTGTTTGGTGTCATGATTTTTAGAGAGGCTGGGAAAGTTAAACAGAATGATATTTAGGAACTTTCAGAAGAATCCATATCAAGCTCAACAAGGCATTTTGTATGTTCATTTCTACTGATCCGACCATTTTGACATCGAATAATCTTTAGATTCCAAACGACCTAATTAGCCCCCCCCCCCCCCTTCCAACCCACACACACACAAAAGATCAACCGCTCTTTCCTTCCTGTACGCTATTCCTTGGTATAACTGAAGTTCAAAGTCTTCTCTGCTCTAGTTTTTCACTTTTTTGGATAACTTGGACTTCTTTTCCCTGTACCTGGTGGTATCAAAACGTTGGTATGTAGGGATATCTTATCTGTCCCTCCAGGAAAATGGATATCCCCAAAAAAGATTTTAAGTTGAATTTGTTTTATTCATGCTCTTCTCAAGGACCCATTTTCTGGGGAAAAGAGTTGCCTGTACGACATTTGCCTTGATGACTCTCCATAAGTGTCGGAAGAAAGCCATACTGACCCCTTCTGTACCAGAAGGTAGGAGTTGGTCATATTATACCTACCTAATTAGCCAAACCCTGAGATCAACAGATCCTTCTTCCTGATCCAGAGCAATTAAAGAGGCACTCATGTTCTTCTCGGAGATCAGTTTCTGGCTCTCTGCCTTGATCCAGTATTTTGAGAACAAATTTTCTCGCTGAAAATTTCCTGTCATGCGCAAGAGGTTTGCCTTGTTATCTCCCTCTTTAACTGCATCCCTACTATTGTTGCTGTGTTTTTTGTTTCCTTACAATCACTTCTTACTTTGACTTTTCCGTCAACATATCAATTGCCCTCCTTGCTGTGGCATCAGTCTTTTATGTTAATGTCATCTCTGCTAAACCTTGTTGTGTGCCATTTTTTCAGCTTCTTTTAGCAGCTTCAATGTCCTCTTCGGAAGTTTGAAATTTGGATCTCATTACCTGTGATAATTATTTAATCTGCTTTGTGTTATTTCTTTGTTTATTCTCTTTTGCCTATAATTTTATGACCTGATTTTATTGCCCTTTGACTCCCTGCTTTGGAAAGAAGGAAAGAAAGAAGGAAGAGAAAGGGAGAGATAACAAAAAGAGAGAGAAAAGGAAAGATGGGAGAAGCTCTTTAATGTTTAAAAAAAGCATGGTAGCTATCAAGCATCTCGCAATGTCGTTCAAATGGAAAGTTATAAGTTTGTTTACTCGGTTGAAAAATGGGTACAAGTTTAGGTGGCCACGAGGTCGTTTTGCCAATTATATTAACTTATCTACATGCCAGAAATGACTTTGACCTTTTAAAGTGGTTTGAGAACCTAAACACATATCATCGAAGTGGATTCGCCAATATTTTTGAGCAAAGAAAAAAGTGGATGCTAAAGGAAGATAAAACATTTGGAAGTTTATGCACAACTCTGAAGTTATGTTGCTCGGATCCTTCAAAATCCTTGCCCCATCGACACAATTTGGGTATGTGATGTACTTTTAAGGTTTTGCACCTCTCAAGCACAAAGAGGAGAGAAAAACAAAAGCACCCTGCTAAAGTTTTTCACAAAATTAGCGAAAGAGTTCTTCAAACTTACGCTAGAAGAATGTAAGATGAAAAGAAACCTCACCCACACGTTCTTTAATCTCGCAAGATTGCAAGTAAGTGTTGAATAAAGGAAGAACAATGAAATAAAAAGTAAATCACGTTTTTGAAGCAAGAGCGTAGAAAAACTAATCACCAATGTTTATTGTGAGAAAGCACGAGAGAAAATATATTATTAGTAATCTGTTAAGGGTTTTACAGTAGCCCTATTTATAACTATATACAATACATATTCTACTCCTATTCCATGTGGGACAAGGGTTATTTATATAACTATCTAACGTTCCCCCTAAAGCCGGTGTATACGAATTATATGTACCGAGCTTGTTACATATGTAACTAATACGATGACCAGTGAAATACTTGGTGAAAATATCTGCAAGTCGATCATTCAACTTTACAAACTTTGTAGCAATATCTCCTGAGTGTATCTCTTCTCTGACGAAGTGACAGTCAATCTCAATGTTTAGTTCTCTCATGGAACATCGGATTTGATGCAATATGAAGGACAACTTGATTATCACACACAAGTTCCATCTTGCTGATCTCACCAAATTTTAACTCCTTGAGCAAATGTTTGATCCAAACTAGCTCACAGGTTGCCACAACCATTGCTCGATATTCTGTTTCTGCACTAGATCGAGCAACCTCATTCAGTTTCTTGCTATTCCAAGATACCAAATTACTTCCTACTAAACACAATATCCAGACGTAGAGCGATTATCATAAGGTGATCCTGCCAAGTTAGTATTTGTGTATCCAACAATTTCCTCATGGCCTCGATCTTCAAACAATAATCCTTTGCCTGGAGCTCATTTTATATACTAAAGAATGCGGACAACTGCATCCCAATGACTTATCACAGGGATTATCCATAAACTGACTCACTACACTCACAGGAAAGGAAATGTCAAGTCTAGTCATGGTGAGGTAATTAAATTTATCAACCAGCCGGCTATATCTTGCAAGATCGCTAAGCGGCTGCCCTGTCCTCGTAGAAGTTTAGAATTCGGATCCATAAGAGTGTCTTGGGAATCTTGGGCCTCAATTGGAGTAAGGCTAATTAGTGTAAGCATTTTAAATTCGTAGCCTAATTCTCCAAATCCATTGGCATCTTCGTGAGCCCAATAATCCTCCATTGTTGTAGGAAACATGGCCTCCACTTGTGCTAATATAACATGGCCTCCACTTGTGCTCATCTAGCATCACGATTTGAGCTTGTATATTCATTAATATGGCTATGGATTTGGTCAACTTATCCTGGGTGCTTTGACTACATCTATGACCAAAAAATATAGATTGATTGGGTATATTTGATTTTGGTTTTTGGGTTAGTCATGTGTTTGTAGTTTTATAAAGTATGATAACATTTTGCTATTAGACGAAGTATCTTATGAAAAAGATATTAGGTGTCTGTAGAATTAAATTTTATTAGTTTTTGTTAAATAACTTTAATTAATTAATATATATATATATATATATATATATATATATACACACACACACACACACACACACACACACCCTCTGCTCTCTTGAATGGAAGAATAAATTACTTAATTGAATATAAAGTCTCTATAAGGAGGGATACAGTAACTTATGAGATTAGAAAAATGTACATAAATTCAAGAATACGAACTTCTCTTTATGTCTCTTTATTATACACATGTAGTTATGGGATCATGCCAAAATAAAGGAAAGGTTTTGCCTTAACATACCTTATCACAATCTATCCAGTAATAACTTTGAACCCGTCTCATTGCACCTTAATCTACAACAATAATAATAATACTATCGTCAAGTTAGAGAAGGTACAACTATCGCACAACGAACAATAAGCTTATTTTGTAATAAAACAGGCAGCATCTCCCCTATAATATTTACTTTCTCCCATTTCGACATAACACCAACAACAACAAGAACACACCAGCAATAACATGTATACCTAATTTTCCAACCTTATGTCCATCACATAATACCACAAAATAGCCCACACACCCCAATCAGTTCATACACAAAACAATAACCATAGTAGTGTCAAACAACCCGAAAATGTAACGACGAACGACCAACCAACGAACCTGCCATTATGTGGCGTTTCTCCACAACCTTTCTCCTCCCAAACTCCATAAAAATATTAGCAAAATATACAACCCAACAGTAACATGAAACAGCCCGCAAAACAGTCCCACAAGTTCAGTAACTCAAAACGGATTTTTCAGTTTACTAAAACACGTTTTGACTTGTCTTTTCTTTCAAATCGAGTAACACAACCAATAGTACATAATTAAGCCTCGGCCACGAATTCAACTTTATGAAATAATTTCACATCCTGCCAACAGTGATGCAACAAGAAACAGCATACCACTCTTCGAATCTCGCTAGGTGTAGTCTTTACGATCGAGTTACAACTCATAGAAGCATAGATAATGGAAGGAGAAACATAAATTTACCTTGGACTGAGTAGAACCCACGAAACTTAGTCCTTATTCATCCAAAGTCAGTCCCCCAATGCAGCTACAAGAAGGAGAAAGAGAAACTAGCAAGCTGTCCGGGGATTTTGCTACTAGAATCACATCGTATTACCCGAAATTACCTAGGGATTGTGTGTGATTTTTGGGGAGGAGTTGCACAGATTCAATCAGATTTTGTTGTTCTGAAAAATGAATGAAAGAAGTGAGTTAATAAGTCCTTAAAAATCCCCTCTTCGCTGACTTTAGGAGCTTATAATTGAGGCCTCTCCTTTTGGCAAATAGGTGATTCGCCTACTTGTCACGTACCATTCTGCGCAAGCTTGCAAAAATGCGAATATCTCTCTACTAAAATATTGTATCAATGAATGATTTAAACCATTGGAAACTAGACTCATAGATATTCAACTTGGTAGGTAGATCATCTCGTAATTCCAAGTACATTGGGAGAAATGCTCAGCTACATTTGACCTAATATTCAGCATATTTATGAATGTAACTTGTGATGATCTTTTTGCAATCTTTTGTCCCACAACTCGCTTGACTTCAAAACATAACACACGACTATCATAAGACTAAAATAACTCATCACATAACCTCCTTATCATTTTGAGAACCCTAGTCTCACCCCAAAAGTACATGTTATAACATTCCTAACTTGTCGACTTTCGACGAAACTTATTTTCTTCAATTCGTTTAGCTTCTAAGCCTTCCAACCCTCTTGGTACTTGCAGTTCATGATCTTAAATATTTGTAAACTCCAAGTTAACATGATTAAATTACTTTATGTACTTTCAAGTATGACATTTCTTAGCTTTCTTCAATTGACTTGCGGCGTACTTTTACGTACGAAAACATGGGGCTTAACA